AACAAAAACTAAACTTTATCGATACCGAGATGATATACCCGTGATACTATCACGTGCGTGATCTTTAACTTTTTCCTTATCATTATACCTGATACTGTATTGTGAATTATATAATACGTACTGTACAAATTTACAAATTTTTTTGCAATAACAAAAGATTTTGTATAACAAAAATTTTTACGGATCTCTGCTCTCATTATAGTGAAATGATCCGTTCCATTCATAAAAATTTTTTTAAAACTTTACTATATCAAGTGTTTTATTTAGTAAATCCACTATATTGAGAGAATTTTATATAAACTGGCTTTGAGCTTAACTATATCGAGGTCTTAACTATATCGAGAGTTCACTATAATAAGAATGAGAATGGCTTACGTACGTACGTATAATTTATATTTATCCAAATATTTGTTAAATTTTTACGGATAACAATTTTTACGGATAACAAAAATTTTTCTGTCCCAAATGGTGCGTACGTGTACGACGCAAGAAATCCTCCATCATTGTATACATGCATATAGCTGGTACGTAGCATATTTTTTAAATTATCAATCTTAGATCTATACTATGCATAGAAATGATACACAATCTATATTTAATGGCATAAATAAATGCGTTAGTTGATCTTTATTCTATAACAACGTTGGCACTTCTTACAGTATATGCCCAAGGCTTTTTTAGGTCATGTCCACAACATATTCAAGCTTCAAAAATACGTATATGATTATATATTTTTTATAATACTGAATATGTTTATTCAAACAGTTAAAATAGGTTGATTTTGAGTAATTTTAATTTATTTATTTGTCCACAACCGTCCCGTGACAACACTGAAATTCTATATAAAATGATTAAGGTTTTTAAAAGGACATAATCGTTACAGTAGCAATTTCCAATTTTCTTTTTTTTTTAAAAAAAAAATTTTTTTGTAATGATAACAAGCGAGATTGTTGTTGAACAGTGCCTCACCGAGGGAACTGCTCTTTTAAAAGTTTCATTAAAAAAGCAACAACAAAAAGTCTTCAGGATCGATGCTGATCAAGGTCGGATACTATGGGATTCCAAAAAATCCGGACAAGGCAAATATTATCTTATTAATTTGACAAAAATATTTTGATCTTCATTTTAATTTTCATGCTTGTCTGTCTTCGTCCGTCTTCATTAGTCAACATTGAAAGTATCAAGGAACTTCTAATTGGTGAAACAATAAGAAGTTATAGGGATCATTTCAATCTTGATGTGGATTTTGAGCCTCGATGGTTCACCATCATTTATGTTGATTTTGGAAACTATAAAACTCTTCACTTAGTCGCTCCGACTTTAGAATTATTTAATTTATGGGTTAATAATTTGGAAAAATTATATTTGCACAGAAGGAATATTATAGGAGGGTTAGGTCATTTGAGAAAACGGCAGCATTTATTGCTGGAGCAACAATGGAAGCAGTCTGATAATGATGGCAATTCAAGATTAGATTTCGATGACGTCACAAAGTTATGTCGTCGTTTGAATATAAACATGCCAAAGTCGCTGCGTAAAACAAAATTTAAAGTTTGTATTGTTACATGATTGTTAGGTTAAATAACTATCATTATTTTTTTATTTAAGTCTTAATTTCTGATAATCCTAATTCTAGGAAGCAGATGAAAAAGGGGATGGTCTGCTTGATTTTACTGATTTTCTGCGCTTTATTAAGTTAATTAATAAAAGGGCTGAGCTAGATAAACTATTTAATTCTCTGGCGAAAGAGCGCATAAATACATTGACACTTCGTGAATTTAAAAATTTCCTCGTCAATGTTCAAAAAGTGTGTATTTTAATTGAGTTTATTAGATAGATACTTTGATTAACATCATTATTTTATGATTAATTAGTGCGTCTTGAAAGAAGAAGAATACGATAATTTGTATTATAAATTTTGTGATAAAGACCTCAAGGAGATGAATTTAGAGGGTTTTAGTTATTTCCTCATGTCTAGCGATAACTGCATTTTTACTCCGGAACACACCAAAGTTTATCAAGACATGACACAACCATTAAGTCATTATTTCATCGATTCTTCGCACAATACGTACGCAGAATATCTTTAAAAGTCCGTTAATTAATTAATTAATTATTTATTTATTTATTTATTTATTTTTATGGATTTATTTGATCATTTAGATATCTTCTAGGACTTCAACTGACAGGTGAATCCTCAGTAGAAGCATACATACACGTGTTACAAAGAGGATGTCGTTGTGTTGAAAGTATGAATATAAATTTATCTAATACCTTATATTTGCAAAAAAATTTTATTATATTCTTTATATTCTTATAAATTACTTATAA